CATAGCAGCAAAATAAACCAAACAAGCTAACAACTAGTTTTTATTAACATTTATTTACCATAATTCCACTTTTACAATTCTATACAATAGAGGCAAAAAACAAAAAAAAAAATGAAAAAAGAAAAAAAAGAAAACTGAAGCGTATTTATTGCTCAGGCAATACCGGCAAGAGTGGTACTACCGGTGGAACGCCTTCGCTGCCGTGATACAACGGTAGTTTTCTGCCTCGGTAACTCAACATTCTCCTTTTCTTCACATAATTGCCAGGCTGCAGTTCTGCAACGAACACTACCAGTCAAAACTACTATTGCTTTTTTCTTCCTTTTTTAGCTTTTGTTTGGGCAAAAAAAAATGCAAGTTTACTTCCTTGTTCCTTTTTTTTTTTTACCATCTTAGGTTGACAAGAAAAGAATAAACAATGAAGCCAAGCACAACAAAATCACCAATGATAGTCGTGTCAAAACAGTTCCTGATTCAAAAAAATTGTTGTCAAACACACAACTAGCGTTTGAAACCAACAGTTATAAAAGTTACCGAAAAAACCAAAACCAAGTTATAAAACAGCTTGAGTAAATAGATTTTACATGAACATAGCAACAATACTCAAAGGAATTACAGTGAAGAGAAGAAAGATAAAAAGAAGAAAAAAGCAACAGAGATAACTGACCTGTAAACTTTGGTGTGAATTGTTGATTCAACTTTCTTGAATGAATAAATATTTTCAAACAATATTCTATACCACAGTTCTTCTTTGGTCTCTGGTGTTCTATCTGGATACAGCTTAACTTGTTCCTCAAATTGTTCAGAGCTTATTAGACTGTCTACATGTCGTCGTACAATATCACCAAGATCAGTTTTACCTGAAAAAAAGTTTCTATATTTATTCAATCACTTTCATGTTTCTACTTTTTATCATTGATTAATGCAGTCTTTTTTGTTCCGCTTTCAACATACTTTATCATTAGCAATTTTAAAGTTTTATGTGTCAGTACTTTTTTTGTTTTTTTTTTCTTAAATCCTGCTTTTAGAAAGGATTCATGTACGCGTCTAAAATACATCTAAAGCCTTTTTTTATCGCTGTAAATTTACGTGTTAACACACTGATTACCGATAAAACTGCAAAATTCTAAAACCACTTCTGACTATTTTCTCTTCAAAAACAGTCGTTGCTGCTTCCATATGACAGTAATTAACTTAGAAACCAAAACAGGCGATTGAAGAAAACAAATAATACTGCCAGCATGAAATTTTCCTTTGTTGTCATTACCAATTTTACCAGTATCATCATTACCAACAATATCCTCAACCTCATCATCATCGACACCGTATTAGTCATCATTGTTTCTTTGCTTATTTATTTTCTTTTTTGAAACTAGCCGAAGAATTGTTTACGTTAGTAAAATTTTTCGCTAATTTTCTTTTTTGCTGTACAAACAAAAAGAAAAACAAAACCAAAATGTAGAAAGCAAAAAAAGAAAAAAAAAAAAGCACACAGTTCTTAATAAAAGCAGGTAAACTTTCCAGAATTTTTTTTTTCTGCATTATACTTTTTTTTTTCACTTGAATTTTTACCAAATTATTTCTTTACTAAAAAAAAACCAAACGTATTTGCTGTTTGAAAACTGTTCGGTAATGTACTGAAACAGACTAATGAACAACAACAGAAGTTGTTAAAAAATAATGGTAACAAGAAAAGAAAAAAAAAAAAAGATGAAAATTAATTTTTTCTCTTATTTGAAACTTACCAAGTGCTTCAGAAAAGCCTTCTTTACTTCTCCACAGTACCTCTTCGGGTAACCAGCCAACAAATGCGCTACGTATAATCTCTTTTTCAATTTTACCCGGTGCTATTTTATGTGAAGCTGGTAAACGGACAACAAGATCGATAAATTTTTTGTCCAAGAATGGTACACGAATTTCCAGACCATGGCATGAGGTGGCCCGATCACAACGAAGTACATCGTAGTGATGTAACAGTTTCAGACGACGTAAAATTTCACGATGTAAATGTGCAGCTGATGGAGCATGTTGCATATAGGCATACGAACCAAACAGTTCATCAGCACCTTCACCTGAAAGAAAAAAATTCATATTTTTTTACAGTTTTTTTCCTCTTTTTTTTTTTTCTCTCCTGTTTATCTTAAAAGAAAAGACTTTTTCAATTTTTTTTTTTTTTTT